TTCCAATTCGGACTCCGACTTCCGACGAYTAATTCCCATTGAATCCATCCCGGAACCAAGCATCTCTCTTCCAAAGGGTGTTTGCAGCATTACAACTGAGTCCAACGACCAGCTCGAGCCTGCGACGTCCGCCCCACAACAAAGTAACCAGCCCGCAGCAACAGACTGGCGCCAAGAGATAACCAAGTACATAATGTTCGGCGAACTCCCGGACAACAAATGGGTTTTTGGTCTCAGATAATCTTTGTTTGTTTCTTGGCACATCAACTTCTCCGTGTCTCTTTTTTACCATATCATGTCTGCGGTTGCATTGCACACTGCAAAACCATTTTATGAAATGTTTTTTCTAATCAGAAAATGTAAAGGAAATATTCAATGCAAATGCTGATTGTTGGGCCTGGACCTGCGGCCCAACATTCTGAACAGTTCGCAAGGTTCAGATCGCCAGAAGAAGCCAAGGCCCAGCAAATCTGGGAGAAGCCCGACGGGCTGCCAGAAGCCCGCTCCAACCTTTAACCACGGTCTGACCACGCCCAGGAGATAACCGCGGTCAGCTGAACTCGAGTTAAACCCAACACCGTTCACTATAAATAGATGTCACGGGACAGTACATAAAGGGATTCACTCTTCTCTCAAGGAATACAAGTACCACTACTCGCGAGCTCACTAAATTGTAATCTTCCGTACACAACATCTAGTAGTTCCAGTCTGTCCGATCTACCACGATCTCCGAACTAGCAAACTGATAGCCCGGGATCTGTCCGGACTATCTTTAGCGACCTATTTATACTTACCTTCCTTTGACTCAACTTTCTATACACGGAATTCTCCGACCTCCGATCTACTATAAATTCATTGTCGACCTGCTTGGATCAACACTGATGCTAAAGGAAACTAACTTTTGACGTGGAACCGGTTTACTTGATGCTTAGGTCTTTTCGGGTACGTATCTAATCTTGTGTGTTATATAGCGACTGTGATGATGACGTTTAATCGGTTTATTCGCATCAAAGTTAGATTTGTGTCCATTTAGGCTTAACATTTTCTATTATCCCTCCAAATTTTTACCTGAAAAAGGTTAGAAGATTGATTGGCTTAGTGACACAGTAACACGATTATGACATCTGTATGTTAATTAGATCCAACGATGTCGAGTAAATAGAATTCGTCAAGAAATAGTCATATCAATCTTTAAACATATATTATCAACATAATAATAAAAAAAATTGTTCTCTTGAAAAAAATTTAGACTCTCTAACTAGAACGAGACACATGGTTAACTTCATTTGTTTAAAATGAGATGTTTCAATTATGCATTTAAAATTATTTTTAAGATGATTTTATCCTAGAAAGATCAGGGATCAAAATCTAAAAGACTAAAACTTTTGGAATAACAAAAAAGGGAAAATGATCGTTGTTTTTCGTAGCCAAATTCATATCATCGTTTGTGTTTTTTTTAATGTTCTCACATATTATTATTTTTGATAACCGAGTTCTTACGTATTGTTTGGGTAAAACAATGAAAAGAAAAATCACCTTTTACGTATTGTTTTTGATAACTCTGTGTTTTAGATAAAACTCTGGATCGACATGAGATGAAATTGAAAAATGTAAATCTGAAAATCCAGTCTTCTATATTAGAGACAATAAAGAGGGAGATTCAATAAGGAAACAAAGAGGTAGCTAAATTTGATGTTAAAACAGTGGACGCATCGTGATCGATCATACAAACAAAAAATCTTGTTAATAAAGTTACCCACTGATATGTGGCAATCGAAGGAGCTCCAGCTTTAGTTGACCATGTTATGATATAACAACAGACACTCAATATCATGAGAGAAAAATAGTGAAAAAAAAAGGTTTCGACTTACTCATGACAAACTAGTTAGAAATTACATTTTTTGCTCATCACTCAAATTCATTTTTTGGATTTCGAGTAAAAAAATTATAATCAACCAAGTGAACAATAGCTCCTCAAAATAGACTAGATTTTATTATACGTTAAGCTCAATTATTAATCATCCAAACAAGATTTTAAAAACTGGGGAAACTAGATATAACTTTACATTATAAGCTCTTGAGGATTTATTAAATGGTAATTTTGAGCTCATCCAAATACTTTATGTAAAATTTTACCATTTTTCAGCGTATAATTTTTGTAAGTAAGTTTTTTCTGACCAACTATATGTATATATTCATTATGCAAATTTATCCAGTGTGCTACAACAAAATTTTTTACTCGAAATCCAAAAAATGAATTTGACTGATGAGAAAAAAGTAATTTCCAACTAGTTTGTCATGAGTAAGTCGAAACCTTTTTTTTTCACTGTTTTTCTCTCATGATCCGGTCTTATGGCTAACATTTGGACCAAAATTTATACTTTCCAACTAG